AAAAAAAAACAGTTTTGAAGGTTTTTCGACGCCTGAGATCACTTGTCAACGATGTTTCTGTCTGGGCTTTTTTTATCAGTGTGTTCTCTACCATTGTTTACTCTTTTCCATCTGATAATTTCTCAGAAATAAGAAAACCAGAAAGAAATCGTCCAACAAATTCACTCGTCGCCGCCGACAAACAGAAAAAGTTGAGTATTTTCAGTCGTTACTGGAAGAAAAAAAGTCGCACTTATATACCGCCGATGTATGGATTGGTTTATGCTTCTGCTCATGAAAGTGGAAATAATTTTTTTTCTGAGAAAGAGAGTGTAAGAACAAGAATAAAAATTTTTTTCGAGAAAGAGAATATATGGGCGAGAACAACAAATTTTTTCTGAGAATAGAAAGAATAATCGAGAAAAGTTGCTCTCATAACACTAATGATCGGGTAATGTAAACTTAGTCGCTAAAAATGATGAAAGTCTTTGGCAGCTACTAGCTGATATGATTCAGGTTTTTTATGCAGTACTTCATCAAAGAACCCCACTTTAAATCATGGTTGACCCAAGATTTGATATTTATCCACACAAAACTAAAAGTTTTCTCAAAAACAGTTTCTAGGTCTGTTTCAATAAATGTTACTATTTGTTGCCGATAGCGACAAAAAATCTTGACGTCTGTACAAATTTTTTATGTACTGCACAAATTTATCAATTTGACGTAGTAGAAAACACTTATTTGACCGTACCATAGTCTATGGAATCTGAGCCAAAGATAGTCTTTAATATACTCAAGCCGTGTAATCCCATCATCTACGAATAGATGCTAGCTAAGCCTTCATTTATTCCATCCACGAGCCTACCTAAACCTTTACCTGTCCAACCTAGAGTAGGCTCGAGCATACTCAGGACTTGTGACCTCTCCGTTCATGTTCATATTACAAAAGTGACATGAACGATGTAGTTGATAAATTATTGTTCATGTATGCCCATTTTGTTTAGTTACATATTGATGTCTAATTAAACTTCATTTTCTATTTTATCGGTATATTTTGATAAACCACAGTGAAATGAGTAGTAAAATAAATTCTATATAATTATGTTTTTTAAAAAATATATATCACTTAGAGGAAATTTTGTCATCAGTAACTTAGTAGAAGAACATAACGAGTGATTAGATGAACGAAAACTTCAGTTCTCTTTGAGAGAAGACCACTAATTCATTTCCTGACTTCAATAAACATCTTCTGATTTTTCAGTAAAAGTCCCCTGATAAACTTCTGATTTTTCGCAAAAAACTCCTGGTTTTCGAAATTTGGATTTGGCAGCCCTAGTGCGGGTGTGTGGGTGTGGGTGAGTGTGGGTGGGTGTAAATACTCTCTTCATCCGCACCCTCCATTTCAAATGGAGTGCACGCATCGATACTCATTGCTGTGTGATAGAAAGTAGTTGACATTGTTCAAAAACAGGCAATGGTAAACAATGATAGGCTTCCTGCAGTAGCAACTAAGAAGGTAAAACTTGAATGAGCATGAGTTTGTGACAACTTTTCTGTAAGATGATATGAAAAATGATAATTTTCAATATACTCATGATTTCTCGAATTACATACCGGTTTTAGAAAATCAGACATATTCATCTTATTTCTCCAATAGAAGAAAGAAAAAAAGAAACTGGTGAAAGATTTTGTTTAGTGTTTCATTGAACATGAATTTCGAAGAAGTCATTTATATATCACGAAAAGAGTATTTTGAGAGCGAGTGCGTGGTGCCGGGTATGAGTATGAATGTGGATGGTGTGTCTGTGGATGTGGATATGAATGAAGAGAAGACTCTTACTTGGACCATACTGACATCCACACCCTTTTCGTCGCAATTAAACAATATGAGAGTCACATGAAGGTAAGGCGCACGCAATGCGAAATTCGAGTGAAAATTTTTTTTTGCCTTTTTTTTATATCATTTGATAGAGTGTGAGTTGCTGATCACGAAAAACAACTTTTTACCTTAGACAAATACCTTTTTCAGGTCGAAAAATATGCAAAATTCGAAGGACGTCGGATTTTTCAAAAAACACAGTTTTTCCAAAATATGCCTTATATTTTGCTTCGTGTTTCGCTTATGCTTTTGTAAATATTTTTTTCAGATTCTGCATGTAAAACTGGGTCTAGAAGAGTTATTAAATCGACTTCACACACAAAACTTTCTTGGTAGTATCGCTCCGAATCTTATTGAGTGCACTACGTCCAAGTAGATTTTGTACAGCTATCTAATTTTTCCATATAAATGATGGAATCAAATATTTTATCTCATTCGATTCATCATACCACCTCTCACAACGCTACGGATCGGTTTTTCTCCTTTTCATTCCTGTATTAAGAAAAACCGGTTTTACTGGTATCATACCGATTTTAGGCAGTATTCAACGGTTTTTGGTTTTAAATAAGGCTTTTGAGTAAAAACTAAATACAGATTCTGAATCAGCATAAAAAACTAAGTCGAATGATGTATCTTTCAAGCTCATTTAACAACTTTCATTTTTTGACTCATACACAAAAATTGTCCCTCACCTAGGACGCCTGAGAAAATGACGAAAAATGAAAGTTGTCAAATGAGCTTGAAAGATACTTCATTCGACTTAGTTTTTTATGCTGATTCAGAATCGGTATTTAGTTTTTACCTAAAAACCTTATTTGAATCCAAAAACCGTTGAATACTGCCTAAAATCGGTATGGTACCAGTAAAATCGGTTTTTCTCAATACAGGAATGAAAAGGAGAAAAACCGATCCGTAGCGTTGTGAGAGGTGGTATGATGAATCGAATGAGATAAAATATTTGATTCCATCATTTATATGGAAAAATTAGATAGCTGTACAAAATCTACTTGGACGTAGTGCACTCAATAAGATTCGGAGCGATACTACCAAGAAAGTTTTGTGTGTGAAGTCGATTTAATAACTCTTCTGGACCCAGTTTTACATGCAGAATCTGAAAAAAATATTTACAAAAGCATAAGCGAAACACGAAGCAAAATATAAGGCATATTTTGGAAAAACTGTGTTTTTTGAAAAATCCGACGTCCTTCGAATTTTGCATATTTTTCGACCTGAAAAAGGTATTTGCATAAGGTAAAAAGTTGTTTTTCGTGATCAGCAATTCATACTCTATCAAATGATATAAAAAAAAGGCAAAAAGAAATTTTCACTCGAATTTTGCATTGCGCGCACCTTACCTTTATTTCGATTCTTTTCTTGCGTATTCGTGCATGTAACATGTTTTTTTTATTATGAGTATACATTTTCGTTCCTTATCTACTATTTATATCGTTATCGATCGTAACAAGCTGGTTTTCATTTGAAAAGAAGGTCACACTGGACAGTTTTGCTATGTAAGTGCATTTTTTTCAAATTATCAAACTATTTGTTCGTATTTTTCTCTGTTATTTTAGGGATCCACGATTCACCGACGAAGCAAAGGTCTTCGCTCAATTATTTACATCACTTCAATCATCATCGAATGCTTTAACGCCTGAGTCGTTGCGAACATTTTTCGAAGATCTATGTGCTAAAGCCAATGAAAAATTAATTGGAACCTTCAATGGCAACCTTCAAGAGAAACATGTAATGACAAACTCTGCCGGTAGATTTTGACATAATAAAATATGTATTTTACTTTTATCGAAAAAATAATAATATCTAGATATACCAATCAATGTTTATACTCCAACGAATGTCAACAAAGATAAATTAGTAGTTTACTTTCATGGCGGAGGTTAGATCATGATTGACGATTAACTTTGATTGATAGTTTTATTTGAATTTAGCTTGGATATATGGAAGTAGAAGAACGCATCAAACTATTGTTAATCTGCTTGCAGAGTATGAAAATTATTTTTGTTTCATCTCTTTTCTTGTCTATTCAATAGATACTATGTTGATGATTTAGTGCCACAAAGAGTATTTGGATTTCTGTCGAATATCGTCTGGCTCCCGAATATAAATATCCGATTTGGTACAATGATGCATGTGATGTAACTCAATATATCATCGAAAATAAAGAATCCTTTGGTGTTTTTTTCTTGATTTATCAACATCTTTGTTCGAACTAACTCTTATTGGTTATTTATTTAGGTGTTGATCGAACAGCTAAGGTTGGTGTGGCGGGTGATAGTGCTGGAGCTATGATTAGCACATCTGTTTGTCAGACGGTGAAAGACATTGATTTTCAAGTATAAATTTTAGTTGAATGCTCAAAAAGAGATCATGAATTTTTTTCGATAATAATTAATAGATTCTTGTTTATGGCTGGTATGATTTCACTTGTGCAACACCATCTTTCAAGGAATTTACAAATCAACAATATTTTGTCAAACCTGAATTGGTTGATTGGTATGAAGAGTCTATGTTCTAGTTGACATTTAAACACGACTGACTTATCTTTTTTTTTTGCAGGACCATCAAGAATGCATTTAATGATGGATTTAATATAAACGATTCTCGAATATCCGTCTTTCGCAATACATCACTCGAAAAGTTACCACCAACTTTATTGATTGTGGCTGAACTAGACCCAATTCGAGATGATAGTTATAGTATGAACATGCTGCTTTATATACAAAGAAAAATGTCCGCTTATATAAATTGGATTCATTTTTTTAGCATATAAGGAACTTCTTGATAAAGCTGGTGTAAAGAACAAGCTTGTACTTATCAAAGGTGTTCTTCATAGATTTTTTCCTTTACCCGGTAAGAATTTGTTTAGAAAAAAAAAATTCTTTCACCAACAACACTTTTGTTGATACAGGAGTTTATCCAAAAGCATGTGCACAAGCTATCGATGCTATCCGAGAATTCATGTCATCAATCTCATAAAGATGTTCTATCAAACAAACTCAATTCAACAAACTTTATTATTGTTCGTCTTATTCAACAACAAAAAAAAAATGTCAAAAAGAAAACGACTAGAGAGTTGTGTATTTTTGCTAAGAATATTATGGAAAGTATTGTTTATTCATTCTATTTCATATATTATTCGTATTCTCCTATTATTATCTTTTTTGTTTTTCTTTCTTATTAACCACGATTCACCCATTCTGTAATTGACTTTCTTCGATTTTATTTTTGTTATTCTGTTTGAGAATCACCAAGAAATAAGAAACTATCGTATATGATAGTATATTTCCACCGTCTGAACGATTAAAAATGGAAGAAATAATAAGTGAAACTGTTCAATCATATCTATGACGTATGAAACATACAAAATGAGACAATATGAATCTTACATAGTGGTTCAAGATCAGATGCAAATCGATCGAACATAAATCGAGTAACTTTTCAATCAAATTCAACAATTCGTAAACTAATCACATGAATATTCGTTTATCTGTTTTAATACGTAAAAACAAGACATATCTCATATTCATTTGATTTTCAATCAAACAATCGCTTTTATCTTAATTGGTTTGATTAATCACTTTCAAATATCTATTCATTCGTCGACAAGCATCTTTTCATTGATAGCCATTAGAGTCAGTCAATTAGTTTGTTGACACTGTTTGGGACAATCACTGGTAAATCTGATACGATTGAAGTCTTCTTTCCAATCTCTATTAATCTAACTTTCATAACAACATGAGTTTGATACACAAATGATATAGAATTACACTGACAGCAATATCGCCATTAAGAACTTGCACGTAACTTCGAACTTCTACTCTGACGTTGTCGAAGGTGGTGCATTTTATGAGAATTTCGAATCATACAAAATCATCTTTTAACAGATTGACTCTTACTTGAAAAAAAAACCAAACGTCAAATTTCATTTGTGGATTCTACAAAATGATTCACTTATTTTTACTAGTTTTCTTTAATTGACTGTATTTCTTCAAAACTTCAGAAGTTTTTTTTCTTTTTATATGGTTGAATGCAGCATTCATTTCTCTATCGAATTGTATATTTTTTATTGGATTGATTCTTCATTTTGACTGAATTTCTAAATTTAGTTTTGTAGAAGTTTTAGTAGCAGATTTTTTCAAGTAAATTATAGTCGGCTGAGCATGAAAATCTTTTTCATTAATACACAGTTGGTTCATTTATTTTCTCTTTCTTAGATTTTTCACTTATGAATAGAACAAATACACATAGAATCTTTTTCAAAGAAAATTCGATTTAAAAGATCAGTTACTGCATATGAATGTTTCATTAGATTTTCCCATTTTTTTTCAAATATCCCCCTTGTCTAACTATGTAAAATTGCGCTTCGCATTTTTATTTCTGCTCTTATTACATAATTGATTCATGCAAAATAATGTAAGTGTTCATTTTTTGTTTTAATAAAAATATCCATAGAATTAAATCAATAATAAAAAATTTTGGATGTGATAAGAAAAATCTAAGTACATATGCATGAAATCGTATAGAACATCGATGAATAGAGAGCAAAAATTGATTATAAACTTGTGATTTATCGGAAAAAAAAATCGACTATAAAATTACGACTAATCAGAAAAATCGAGAAAAATCAGCGATTTATCGGGTTTAAGCGCACGATTATCGTTTCGATATATTGTGATTAACCGGTAATTTTTTATCGATTTTAAGCACATGGACTGCTAAAAACTATAACTTTTTTAAAGGACATAATAGAAGACCTCGAATCTTCTAATGTGTCGATGGTTTTAGAACTCAGCGAATGAAAGTTCAACTGTTTACACTCTTGATCTTATAGATAATATGTTTTTCTTCGTAGCGACAACTGCAGTGACTATAGCTCGTTTATATGTTATGATTACCAATAGGTATAGATTATTCTGAAATTATGAAAATTCCTAAGCTTCGTAATTCTAGTTATTCTGTAATTGCGATAATTCCAGAATTCCATTAGTTCTGATTATTGTAAACTAGTGATTATGTTTCATAAGCTCAAAATTCGGAGACTCGTGGATTCCAGTCGTTCCCAATTATTGATTCATATAGAACTCTTACCATTTAAATTTATATGTGATAAAACATAAACTTATAATTCTGATGAAAATTATAGAATCTTGTAGTAGGGACACTGCTACTATATCCTATCTTATCTAACATTTGTTTTGACTAATAATAAAATTTTATAATACTTCTGGCCAACGACTAGCAAGTGCGAGACAGAAATGCTATTGAATTCTTTCAAAGTTCTAAGTAGATGCTTTAGATGAACGCATTTCTTTGATTCTTTTATCGCTTTTATTATATGCATTGTGAATAACATTATAGCAATTTGCAATTACTCTCTTTTATTTCAAATATTAAAAAAAAACAAGATTTTATCCAGTAAAGTCAATAATTGATTATCACTATGAACTTCATTTGTTGCCTCCACAGCTGCATAAATCATTTTATTCACGTTACCATAATCCTCGAACTGTAGATTGCGAATTTGAACGACTTATTGATGATCTGATAAATAATAAATAATTTTAATGGTCATGTTTTGTTCTCGTATTTTCATATTTGAAATAAAAACAGGTGGATTAATCAGTTCATTTAAGATTATATAACAAATAGATGTTATCAATAGAACTTCCATTTGTCTATTATTTCAACTTTCAAGCAAAGTTACACGACAAAGATTGATGAAAAAAAGCAAGAAGATGTTGAATAAACATTCACCAATGGATCTGTTCACTCATTTTCTCATCCCAAAAGCAACGATAAGGAGAGTGATTAGATGATTGAAGGTCAGATAACAAATGAATATTTCTCATCATAGTTCTCTTTA